CAAAATGGAAGTGAATAATAGGTAGGACGTGCCCGAGTCGTCGGCTTCAAGCTCGTGAAGGTTGTAAGGAAAATATCGAGGGTTTGGTGGACTGCAAAATTAACAGCAAGGAAATGTCGTGGAAGCCTCAAACGAACACCTTTCCGCAAGTGCAGCACACATAGTAAAGTTTCTGAGATAGTCCCGAGAGTCAGAAAAGAGCATGCCAAAAGCCAGCAATAATAACATCATATATCTCACCATTCCTGTCTCAGCAGATCGTTGCTGTGACTGGAAAAACACCGCCTCGTTCTCGCCGCAGTTAGGACACAATTTATTTGATCGAGGAAGCTATATGTTTAGTTCTTGTTAGCCAAATGAGTTCTTCAACACCGTACAACGGCTACTAGCTCTGCTTCTGCTGAGAAGGTCTGTTCCAGGCCATGTATTCTGCAAAATCCCCGCAAGAGTCGCAGCTTATCAGGTCCCCACAAAGGAGACATAATGGTAGACCAACAGTTGGATCATTTCCGATGTCCTGTGTTACTCCTGCAGTGTCGCCGACCTGGCTATGAAGTTTGTTCTGGAAAACGCAGTATGATGTTGCTGGCTCGGCGACGTGGCAGGTTCGGCATGCAAACACTAGGGAATTCGTCGCGCGGTCTTCTTTCGGGTATAACAAGTTGGAGCTACAAAAGCGCATAAGTTAGCCTGTCTTCATTCTCATTTTGAGTGGCTTGGGTGTAGAGTGAGCCGTGCATACCATTCGCGACAGAATTTGAAATGAATCTGATCGGTTCCTTGCTGCTGTTGCTGGCTGGAGCCATTCTGGGGAGCTGGAGACGCAGACATCGCTGGGTTTTTATGATAATATGCGATATTCGTATTCGAGTTGATGTATGATGTTAAACAATATTAAGAATGTTGCATGCTCGAGAGAAAGTTGGAGCTTGCGACTTCGCGTATTTAACTGCTGGCTAATTGATGACTAAGCAAATGGTTGTGAGCGGCGTAAAGTGAACGTTGACAGCATGGAATAGTTTAAGGGCTGGTTAAGTGAAGAGTGATTAAATATGATAAATTAATTATGGTAGTAGTTACTGAGGTGAAGGTGAGTCATATTTGCTGCCCTAGGCCTCTACGTCTAAGCCTCTCTGCTTTTTGGATAGCTTGAAAGTGGGCATCTTCATCCGAATTATCGACGGCAAACCATTCGTGAGTATATATCGGTCTTTCACTGGCTGGGTATCCTTCAAAACGTAGCCAGTCGAAGATCATCCGTGTTGCATTCTCCGATACCACATCTTTGTCCCTGAAGCCCTCGTAGCTAACAGGAATGTCAGGCACCTCCGCTAGTTCCCGGAAAACTGGCACAAGGCTGCCACGAGGTACTTGGTGAGTAAGGCTTCCTTCTTTAGAAGCCCATCTCCATTTCGCATATACCAGACCACCCGTAACCTTTTCGACATTTGAGCGAACACTAGGTTCAGTGTCTTCAAGTGCAGTTTGGCCAAAGGGATGCCATGGACTTAATGGCCACCTCTCGTGGAACTCATCCTGTATTATGTGTAGCAAACGGCACTCGTTAGCACGTGAAATATAACCATCCGTAACTAAGGGTTTGGATAAAGGCTCTTGCATAAATGACTGGATTGTTCCGGTCCACATGGCTGAATGCGGCTCAATTGGTATTAAACCAAATCGTCCATCCCTGACTACATCGTTGTGGAACCCTGTTATAATCGCGCCCAGCCATATAAAGGCGAGATGTGGCGATCTTGCTGCCATGACATGAATAATTTGGGTATCGCCAACATGTTTAATGGCAGCAACGATCGCCTGAACCCATGGGCTTGCAAAATTGCAGGCCACTTTAGGGTCATAGAAGATACTCGACAGGAGACCACATACTCCTTTAGTATTGCAGCTCAGAACCAGAAACTTATCCAGATATTTGAACTCATACAGCTGCTCATGGCTGGCCCGTTCCTTTATTATCCCAGACACACAAGCCTCGTGGTTGAGTTTTGGTATTGGCAGGGGAACATTACGGCCCCTGGAGCTAAGTCTTGGAAGGAGGAGAGCAACCGATAACGCTGCATAGCACTGGTCGGTAACGCCATGAAAGTTACAGTACTCCTTGATGTATCCGAGGGCATCAACAGACGATATAGCCTTAGGCTGTACCAGAGTCTCTCCTTGATGAGACAACCTGAATCGGACAGGAGACTTCAGAGCGATTGACCATGGGGATTTAAATCTAGACTCATCCGAAGGAATATAAGCTTCCCAGCCATCTTGGGATAGTACAGCAGCCCACCATCTTGCTGCATCGTCATTTACTTTTCCTGTATTCACTGAAATAACATGATCGCCGTCGACAATCTGACTGTTATTGTTGTATTCAAGAACGGCGCCAGATACCAGCTCAGTCCAGCGAGCCGAGAGAATGTAGGCCCACGCGAGAACAAGGACTGCAATATGATTGTCCGCACGGCCAAACCAGGAGCAATAGTCCAAGTCCCTGTCAGTCAATGTGATGTTAGTAGGCCAGCGCCTTGAGATGTCAATATCAATTTGTTTTTCAATATAAACAGAGTTATCAGAGCCGTCTGTTGCCCAGGTTGAAGTCCCGGTCGCACGTAACCAGCCGTCCTCTGCTTTTAGATCCAAACCCGGTGATAGGGACGGTACATCTGCAAGCATATTCAAGTCGAAGCAACTATCAGGCAGACCTGTCGCCTTTCTAGCAGTATCAACTAGGCCTGACCACGCGCGAAAGCCTCTCTCGAACATCGCGCGCTGCGCCGACTTGGCTGGCCGCACAGCGTCTCCCATCTCACCGTCATCTCCAGCACGCACCTCCTCTCCATCACGGCGTATCGTTACCATCTTCTCTGTTCATATGAAAATGCTGCGATTTTCGATCTATTTCGATTGACGTTGAAAGAAAGTAGAGGCAGTGCTGACTCAGCAGCCCCCCCGCATTTATCTTCGCCGCAAAGTCGAAAAAGTCGAAAAGAAAAACAACAAGAAAACATCGAGATACAAGACGGGCATAGACGGATAGACAGCATGGTGAGTTACTTTTCCGGTGGCTGGAGGGAGACGAGAGGCTAACTGCGATGTAGGCTGACACAGGACTCCCTTCCGGCTGGGAGGTACGGCACTCGAACTCCAAGAACCTGCCATACTACTTCAACGCGATCTCCAAGGAGTCACGATGGGAGCCGCCTGCGAACACGGACACCGAGAAGCTGAAGGTCTACATGGCTGCCCACCACAGCGTACAAGCAGGCGATCGCCATGGAGCCAGTGGTCAGGGCGAAGGCAAGATCAGGGCGAGCCATCTGCTTATCAAGCACCGTGAGAGCAGACGACCAAGCAGCTGGAGAGAGTCGGAGATCACACGATCAAAGGACGAGGCCATTGAGATCCTACGCAACCACAAGCAGCGTATTCAGTCCGGCGAGGCGTCACTGGGTGATATTGCGACGTCGGAGTCTGACTGCAGCAGTGCCAGGAAAAGGGGTGATCTGTGAGTTTTTTGATGCCAATCGCAGGCAACACAAGGCATGGGTTACTGACAAGTCATACAGCGGATTCTTTGGCCGAGGAGAGATGCAGGCCGAGTTTGAGCAAGCTGCTTTTGCACTAAAAGTCGGCGAAGTCAGTGATATCGTGGAGACGGCCTCGGGTGTTCATTTGATTGAGCGGTTAGTTACCCGTTGCTACACACATTGCTGCCTCATTCTAACGGTCGTCATCTAGTGTCCAATGAACTACGCTCTTCTCGTTATAAGCTTCGTTCTTTGATGTATTATGATTGTTAAAGCTGCATGAACTCGTTCCGTCACAATATCTTCCCCAATACCACTCGACCTTCACTCTGCCCCTGATTATCTATATGGCGATAATCAGTGATGCTGTTCTTATTATTTCCGGCGCATTTCCTAACTCAGTGATGAAAAGTTACGGTTCATGTCGGTAAGAGATGCCCAGCGTTCCATGTACGATGTAAAGAGCCCACTCTTTGCTTCGACATAACAATAAAACTGCTTTGGCAATGACTGTTATATCCTCTCCTTTTTTCTGGACTTCCACCAGGAGTCAACTACTGATACCTTGGCAACAGTCCCTCGGTCATTCTGCTTGTTTCTTCTTTTCTATACCATGGCGGTTCTGACCTGTCCTTTGTGTACATTTATATCTCTGTATATACTTGTACACCATTACCACCAACATGAGCAGCCTCTATACTCCCATGAATTTCTCCGCAAGACCCATCTCCCTCTATAGGCCATGAATATGCCCTGGCATCGCCTTCTCTCATCCAGCCACTTTGCTAGCCGGAGTCTAATATCCCCCGTAGCCTCAGTCTGAGACCCTAAAAATGCGGAAAGTCCCTTCACTTACACCTTTATACCATTCTACCCTGCCATGCAAAAGTAAAGGCTGCTCTCCTGACCTTTCCAGTGTTGCTGTGCTAGTTCTGCCTGTAGCCCCCCTTTCTCACCCTCCGCGCACAAAGTCAGCACCACCAAAACACCTACTTCTGCCAACCACCTCACATCATCATGACAAGCTACATGATATCCTCTACTTCCTTCAGCATTCATTCTTTTACTTAAACAAACAAAACCACCTGTATCTTCTTCTTACTTGTCTATCACCTAAATCTGCGTCCATCATGACGTTAGATCCAAGACTGCTGTCCATCCCCTCTGCCAGGCCAACGCCGGGCCCAATGATCCCCTATCAACACCAGTACCAGCAAGAAAGCTCACGCAACCGATACGGCTCACCCGAGAGTGGCAATGTGTTTCTTCCCCGGCGTATCCTCGCGGCTATTCCCCAGGATGTCGTGCACGCCACCAACATCGCTCGCCGCAGAGCGGACGAGGCCTACAGGGGCTTCCTATTCCTCCAACACGGCTTCAACCAACGCTTCTACCGCCTCTGCCCCAACGAGCCCCGCGTGCGTGCCTCGAACCATGCCAAATCCATCGATATGCTGTTCAGCTGGGGCCCAAAGAGCGGATACACTGCCGATCCACCCAAAATACCTACTTGCGCTGTGAAATTCTACGTTGAAGAGGACGCGTATCTGAAGTACGCGCATCGTTACAGGTCTTATCGACAGAAATACCTGAATGGGGCATATCTTGCTTGGATTAAATCCGATATCTTCCTGCGGAACTTCGCTGATAACACTCCCATGAGTGCTCTTACCCGTGCCAGGTTCAACAGTTGGTGGACTGGATACAGAGATGAGATGCGAGCCTGGGAGGAGCAGATTGACAGTCTTGTCCTGCCTAGCTGGGCCTCGATTATTAGGGAGCTCAGAGAGATTATCGAGCAGCGTTTGGATCTCGATAAAGAATGGGACCGTTGGGTTTAATGGCAGCACACTTGGATCTTGGCGCCGTCTTTGCTTTTCCACCACAGTCAAAATATTTGCGGCACGGTTGGGACAAAGGCCAGTCTGGCTAATTTCTGAACGCAGTCATCTTTCGTATTATGCCTAGGGCGGTTATCATCTCTCTTTGGCGGACTCGACGTGTACCTTTTGCAGGTCACCTTCAGCTTTGTTACTTTGTAGTAGCTCGGCAGCATCGTCCTGCCAGCACGCAACTAGGGGAGCATATGTTACTACAATGGTATTGAATATTTCCAAGTCTCATTCCCTAGTAACCATAACTATAACAAATAGTAAGGGTATTTATTCAAATGGTTAGAGTGGATGAGGAAATAGTCTAAGCATATCGCTAAAGGTCATGGAAATTGGATGAGAGTCGTTCGAGTCTGGATGTGATAGCGTCGATGACAGCAGACCTATGTAACAGTGGTTAGTGGTTTATCGGTTCGAGCCGAGCCATGGTTAAAGCTAAATGTAAAATAATAAGAATGATGGACATACTCTCGTTCAACCATACTCATGGCATCTGCGACCTTGGCCTTCTGTAGTCTCTGTGGCACCTTGGGATGTGTAGTGTTGGGCGTTGAAGGGGTCGAGTCGACGACATCAGGGATATTCTTCATCTCAGACAGTAGCTCCTTAGCTATTGTGGTTGCCTTCAATGCTGCGTCAGTACAAATTCCACGACATATGTATATATAGTAACGAAAATAGCATACCGTTTCAAGCCGGTTTGTTAATTCACCCTTGGCCTTTCCATCCTCTTCACTGATCGAAGTAGAGAGTGTATCAACTTCCCTCATCCATGCTTTTTCCTTCTCGCTTATTGGTCGTCTTCCAGCCTTGATGATTCTAAGTCGGATGTTATTGTATCGTTCGGTAAGCTCTGCTTGTCTCGATTGGGCCGCACTCAGCCTTGAACTAAGCGCTTGTTCACGATCCACGGGAGGTCTCTTCACAGTTCCCCTAACTGTGCCGTTTGAGACATCCTGTATTCTCTCACCGATCTCAACGAGCTGCGTAAGTTGCCCGCGCATCTCACCCTGTAACCGTTCACAACGGCGGAAAAGATCAGAGGCTGCAACTTCCAGTGCATGAGTATATGCGCTCAAGATCCTGTGAGCGGATGTGAAGAGTTCCAAAGTTGATGGTGATAGACGAACGGGCTCCTTGAGAGTATGTCTATGCCCGTGGGGAACATGATCTGCAACAAAGGACACGAGGGGAGACTGTAAGTATAAGACAGATGGGACCTGGTATGGCGGGCGGGTATGAGCTGGTACGGGTGCATGGCTCTCTGGTGCTTCCTCGGAGTCCGAAGGTGCCATGGATGCCCTGAAGTCTTCAGACTCAGGGGAGTCAAGCAGGACAGCACACGGCTTGGAAGGTGAGAAAGACAACAATAGGTAACCCAAGTCGTAGTCGAATATGGGCAGGCAGCCAGCTAGATGCTCCTCGCTACTATCGGGGGCTAGATCTGTGGGAGGTAATTGCAGCATCTGTTCTCGTTCCGCGATCTCGCCGTCACAGATAATATTCATACGGAATGCTGAGCCAGCGGTATCTTCGGATCTTAGTTCGGGCTCCACACGATGAACCCAGGATGACAACGAAAAAAGGCTGACAGTCCTAGCAGTGGTCACGAAGAAGTCATATCGAGATCCAAAGGCTTCCGAAAACATAGGCCACATGTTTGACTGCCTGTCCTTGGCTCGAACGGTTTCCAGTGATTCCAAGAGTAATAGGTCAGAGGGTTCGGACATGGGTGTGCTAAATGTATTTTTGCAAGTTCTTGGAAGCCACTGCCCTTTCACTCCGTCCATTTCAAGGCACACATGAAGCGTTCCTATAGAGGTCAAAAGACATATGACAGTACCAGAAAGCCCACTCTGGGCGTTTTCGCTGAGGAGCTCCGGCTCATCCTCTCCAGCCATCAGGTCGTCAATGTCTGCCCGAGGAGCAATGACAAGGATATCTGTGATGTCCATGTCTTCCTCGAGTTCCTCGCAGTCAAGCAGGAAAGGGCCTTGTAGTCGCGGTATTGGGCTTGGATTGGTCGGGCGAGCTCGAATTTCCGTAATCATTGTTTCATCTTCGACCACCGATATATCCTGGTTATCCATCTCCTTGAGCCATTCGTATTGTTGCTGGGTTGCCTTGAGCTCGTCATCAGACTCCATAGCCTCAGCCTGCGCAACAGCAAGTTCACGAACGATAGAAGACGTAAGAGATGGAACAGTGACTGGGGACGCCTGCCACTTTGATGGCAAGAGTGGACAGAGAGCATAAACATCGCCTGTCCGCATGGCTACCCAAAGCGTCATAGAGGCCCATGCATCTTCTTCTTCATATCCATGGCCACCAAACCTAGCAGCGGCGACTTCCATATCAAAAGAATCCGCCGAGAAACCCTTATTCTGGCCAAAGCTCAAGGGGGTAAAGTCTTGGTCCATGGAAGTTCCGTCAACAAGTTTCTTCAAATCAATTGCAAGGGCAGGCCTGTCGAAGGACCAGTGGTTCTTGCGATCTATCTCCCATAACCGCACAGCAGAATCAGCAGTTACAGTAACTATGCAACCACCATTGGTATCGTGTATTCCTAGGGGGTGCCAGAGGACAGCCACAACCGGTGATTCGGGGATAACATGGGTGGTTGGTCCCAGTTGGAACGTTTTGACGCGAATGGGTGAATAATCTGGTCCAGAAAGATGCGAAATGTCTGGCAATATCGCGATATGAACGGTATGGGTAGTTGTAATGGCCAGAAAAGCTCCATTCGGAGATACGGCGAGTTGCTCGATTTTTCCGTAAACGGGTGTGTTCAGTACCTATGAAACACAAACATCAGTATTATACCGTCATGCGAATGTGAAATGACAATTCGTACCCGATAATATGAAGCCTTCGAGGCATCTTTATCTTCCTGCTCCCCTGGTTCTTCCCTGGCAACATTCCGCTCCAAGGAACCATTCTCTTTCTTCTCGTCCCCATTGGTCTCATCGTTGGATTCTTCTCTCTTTTGTTTCACTCCTTTCCTCCATTCATCTTTCAACCTCGCAAGGTCTGCCCATCTGATCTGGTTATCAATGACGGTAAAGACTTCGGTACCCCTTCGAGCAAGTGTTCGAACCGGTCGTGGGTCCTTAGTAGGCTCTTGAATAGCTTTCTGCGCATGGCGAATCGAAGACAACGACTTATCCTTTGCCTCAGGACAGAAGAGATCAACACCTGCAGAAGGCCTGGATAGCCACGGAGGAGAATAATCCACGATTCGCGGCATGTTGGCGTTGGATATCGAGAGAGCTGAGAATGCGTGCTCGCCGTCAAATGGAGGAAAGAGAAAACGTTGTAGAGAGTTTTGATGGGCGTATTATAGCGCACTAAGCCTCATACTTGGTCGTATCACATCTAACTCGGCATCCTTCACGTCCTTGTGCAAGCTTCCCTGTCGCATAGATCAATGTTTTTTTCTTCTTGCAAGTCAAAATCATGGAAGTTTTGACAACCGCGCGCCAAGCCTCGAAGCTCTTTTTAACTAGCGCGCTTCAACCTTCGAGCTCCAAGACGGCGAAAAGCAGGAGAGGAGGACATCTACAGCTATTCCCTATCAACCAAAAAGTGTGCGAGTTAAGGAGAGATGGCTACTCCCCGATCTACGGTAGAGAGGCTAGACAAGCCCAGCACGTATTTCAGCAACAAGGTATGCGCTTTGGCCGGCTGTTGCAGGAGAGTCGACCACTAACATACACCTGCAGAACAAACGCCGGAAGTCGTATCACGACCGCGGAGAACGCGAGGAAGATAAACCTCAGGCGGACTTTGATGCCTCACTGAAAGAGGCTACGACTCTATATGTCGGAAACTTGTACGTTTGCGATCAAATGGTAGCTATTGGATATGGTCTGACTGCGTTCGGATAGGTCATTCTACACGACAGAAGAGCAGATACACGAGTTATTCGCAAAGTACGTCTCCAGTTGAGCTCCTAGTGGCATCGTGTTCTGACTGTTTCAGATGCGGAGAGATAAAGCGGCTAGTGATGGGCCTAGATCGATTCCAGAAGACACCGTGCGGATTCTGTTTTGTTGAGTATTACACGCACCAAGACGCTTTGGACTGTATGAAATATATTGGAGGAACAAAGTTGGACGAGAGAATCATTCGAACCGATCTGGACCCTGGATTTCAAGAAGGGAGACAGTATGGGTATGTTATGGCCTGGTTACTGCGACTGCCGAAGACCGGGGCTGACCATTTTACTAGGCGCGGAAAATCGGGAGGACAAGTTCGTGATGAGTTTAGAGACGAATTCGACCCCGGCCGAGGCGGCTATGGGCGTGCAATGGCTGATGATCGTTGAGTGGAGATATATACAATGCGGTAGGTTGGGTGATCCAACACCTAAGACATGGACGCAAGTCTTTTATCAGATACCCAAAGTAAGCAACCAAAAAAAAGTTCAAAATGAAACAAAGCAACAAAAAATCTATATATTTTTGTCTATCGAACAACCACTTCTGCCTTCTGTAGCTTTGCTGCTGCCTCACTAACCTGACAGAGCCACCACATGTGAATCCTGACATCGTCTGTTAACTCTGGGTGGAAACTGGTACCAAAAACATTCCCTTGCTTTACTGCCACGATATCGCCGGGACCATCGCTACCATCAGCCTTGGCTGGTAACTTGCCTAGAATCTCGACTTTATCGGCCATGGCTTCGCGGGCAACTTCGCTCTCTGGCTTTCTCGAGGGCGCCACCACGGTCCCGTCTATCGCAAGCTCCCCGTCCTGAATCCCATCCTTGGCCGAAAGAACTTTCTCAACCACGGGAGCGCGGATAAACACTGCTCGGAATGGTCCAGCATCACCCGGCAAGAATGGGAGATCCAACGGGGCATAAAAGCTCTCGGTCTGTCTTCCGAAGTGGTTCCTGTTGACTCGAACGTCCAATCCGCCGATGAGCTCTTGGCCGCCACGCTTCG